TATCTTTTTTGTGATCCTTCTAATATTTTCTAGATTTTGATTTGCTTATTGTAGTCCCTCAACCTATCCAACATACTCAGTTTTCAAAAATTGAATTACTGCCAAACTCCAGTGTCTATTTTTATCACATGATATAATCAATATTTTCAATAACTAAAATAAGCTAAAAGCTAGAAAAGATACATAAGGTGATTATGTAATAAATGGAAAAATCCAAACTACAAAGCCATGAATCTCCAACATATAAGTGAATAGTTAAACTGCCAACTTTTTGCCAATTCAAGCATCATTAGGACATATTTATGTTCAGTATTGCCTAAGATATGAATGAACAACCTGATTGCATATTTGTATTTTCCACTTTCTTTGACTATCCAAATTCCAATGACTGGAAGCTGTAAACAATTTAGAATTCATTCCAAATCACTAAAAATGCTTTTGATCATTAATATCAAAATAATGTAAAATATATATATATTTCAGTGAATCAAGGGGTTAGACGGAACCATCACTTCTTCAACTTCTTTGAAACTTCATGATAAGTTTGCTAATACTCCCATTTTTAATTACATTAATATTTTGAAAAAAAATAATAGAGCTAGTTCCTAATCCCATCACTGATCTCATTGATAGCACCATTTAACCCAGTTTGGAGATAGATCCAATCCCATCAATGAGTTTAAGAAGTTGCTCATAGGTTTACTTTATCTATGTTGAATCAGGTTGCACATTTCTTTTTTATATGCATCAGATTCCTCATAATTATTATTGCTGTAGGAAATTTGAAAAATCTGTTTTAACTTTAAAAAAGAAAAACCATTGATAAATTAAAAATTAAACAAATAAATAATGTTGAAAACAAATTTCTGTCCTTATAATATAAACTTTCTCCATTATTTTTTTTGGTTACCACTTAATAAGATAATGAATTTCTGGAACAAATCATTTAATCTAAATGATAATGAAATTAGAATATATCATTTGTTAAAGAAATATTTTTATAGACAATGTGTTATCAAACGTTTCGTTTTGTTCAACTAATTACCTGTAAGATATTGATAGGGGTTTGGAGAGATATAATGAAGTTAATGATAGTTGTAATTCCAAACATTTCACATCAATCTAAGAATTCAATTTCTTTTCCCTTTTAATGGTTGACTTAATATACCAGTTATTTTCCAATTTATGAAATGCTCAGTGTTATTCTTAACTATTGTTTAAAGTTCTGATTTTTGATCTTCCAGATAGTATTTAATTGAAAAATAAATCCAAAAAAATAGAATTTTGTTTAAAAAATGGGATTTTTAGGCCTTAAGACTTGTCAAATAAAGTCCTTTTTGCCTATAAAGTATTTAATTTTCATATAAAGATGATTTAAAACTGGTTGATTTGATCCAGAAAATAATATTTTGAGTGAAGCATAATAGTTATATAAAACTTGAATTAATAGTTTAAAACAGAAGTAACCTAGTAGCTTTATAAACCTCAAATGAGAATAAGAGATGATTTTTATTATTGCTTAAAAATTTTATTAAACTATGTGCTACTATTTATTACTAAAATAATAAATATTAAAATTTGAATCCACCTTACTTTTCTTTCAGCAACATTTATTTACCTTTATACTAAAAACTTTAAAATACAACTTTTTAAAATTGTATCAACAGAGTTCAACAGTTTTGAAAATTTAAATATATTTGTAAAAATAAAATAGAAAACTGAAGTGATGATGAATATTACAGGTGTTAATGCTTGAAGCATTAATTTCTTTCTTAGTTAATTTAATTAATCTCTAGAAATTCATAAATTTGATTTATTTTCACTTAATTTTAAATATTTAATTTTGAATATCATTCCTATCTTACTGACAGATACTTCAAAGTAAATCAAAACAATGCCTATTCACCTCTTTTTTCCCAGTCTGCTGGTGTTCCTCATGGTGGTATCCTAGGTCCTAGGATGTCAGTTGACATCCCTACCCATCCCAACACTGTCATCACCACCACCCAAACTCTTCAATCACACATCACAAACCTTGAAGAATGTTGTCAAAACTGGCAAATCAAAATAAATTCTAATAAAGCCCACCAACTTACCTTTACCCTTCGTCGAAAACCTATGACTTCCTGTCCTATAGTATCCTTTAATAATACACCGCTTAGCTCTGTTGAACAAATCTGATACCAGGGATTGCACCTGGACAATGCTTGGTACAAGACTAAAAAGACAAGAAACAGCTTGACGTTTCCGAATACTTAAGCACTTACTAGAATTACGCTCTAAACTTCCTATTAACAACAAAAGACTCATCCTAATCCTCCCGTTTCTAACCTTGCTTCCTCTTCGATCCCTGATAATCCCCTGAGTCATCTGAAAAGAAGATGGCCCCATTATCTCCTAATTTAGATACTTTATTAGAGTGCTACCAATGGGTAGATTCTCTACTATTCATTTCATGCTATTGTATTTCTTTGTACACATTTACTAGATATATATTTATATTATACAGTTGTAAATTTCATGAATCAATTTTAAAAATATGAATATAATATTTTTATTTAAAAATAAAAACTAAAGAAATATTAAATCAGCTATTTTAATTGGCGTGTGTACAGTTAGTCATGGTTTATAGGCCTGAATTTTTTGGTGTGCATTAGAGTGATTATTATGAGTGTATTATAGCCTGAGATATAGGCAAATGCTAAGTTTCAAGTAATAAGACTTCGTGAACTAGAGAGTTTATCTCGGTCATCAACTGGAGGCTGAGTGGCAAATTGCTACACTGCCCACTTGCAGTTATGCACGAGTTCAGTCCTTCACTGCGGGCTCATTGTTTTACTGCTCTTTTGCAGTTTTAAAGAAACATATGAGCACTCATAAACTATTTATAAGAAGTCACAGTAAGAGGACAGGACTACCTGTTGTTCGACCATTTCTGTTTATCATTACCTGTGTGCAGCTACTTTTAACTAAAGTTAATCAACCTTTGTATTTTATAAATTCTACTTTTAATATTAATGATATTTTGTTAGTTTTAGTATTATCATGGTAATCATTTAAGAGCATGATAAAAAAAATTAAAAATCTGTGACTCCACATACATCCACACACCCTGTTGGCAGGGAATTGCCTGGAGAGGTAAAATCTTAATAAAATCATCTCAAAAAATAAATCTTTATTCTAATATCACATTAAAGTGTCCATACTTTTAAAACATCAATTAACTACATTTCAACGATTGCTATAAAAATATAATTCTTTATACTATTAAAACAAAATAAGTAACTCTTTATTTACATATTTATCTTTAGAAAGACTGAAACTATACTATATATCAACATATAATTGAATTACAAATTTGATAAAAGAGAGCCATTAGGGACAATTTCAATAAAACTACCAAACAATTTACCTTTATGTAACCAACATATCCACAGCCAATATTGAAAAATTCTGTAAGAATAATTATATTTGAAATAGCAGTTTTAAACTTTTCTCATCAATCAATCTTGAATTTCCACTTTTTATTTCTCTTACATTCAGAAATTATTATTGTTTTGATTTAAGGATGTAGTAAAAATTAAATAGAAAATCTAATTCATAAAATAAATAAATTTAGTTTCAGCATAAATAGACTTTTGTAATGTGACTGTTGAAATATTAGGCATTTTTTATTAAATTGATTTGGTAAAATGATTCAAAAGCACAAGTACAAATTTTTTTTCAGAATCTTAAAAAAATGGATTTATTGGTACATGCATACTGGACATTTCCATTATTAATGGAAATTTATTATTCCATGTTACGCAACATTTCTTAGAATATTATTTGCACAAACCATAGTATTAAAAGTATGAATCTTACAACCAGATTTCAAAAGCTTAGCTCCGTTAGATTAATTTATAAAAAGTGTTCTAAAAATTTTACATATTATTTATTAAATTTATAACAAAATGAATAATTTGGTGCTTTTTGAAATTTTATATTCAAAACTCATCAAATTTCTAAAAATAATTACGTACTATTCTTTGAAGATATTTTAGATCAACACAGTAATCTGCTATCACAGTTTGAATACGTTATGGTGTTGAACTAAAATTGTATTTCTATTCTTTAATACAACATGCAAGATTTGGAGTCACAAGAATTCTCAACTCATCATTATATAAAGAAATATAAAACAGATACCTTTGTAGTAAGTACAAATATCAATGAGCTACAAAACTGATATTGTTCGATACATTTATCTTTCTTTAAGGTAAATACAAATAATGATGTCTCAGCTGAGATAAAGAGGCTAATAGCATCAGCTAATAGGTGCTATTTTGGACTGTATCAGCATCTGAGAAGTTAAGCATTATCAAAAGCCACAAAAAAAAGGCTGTATAAGACATTCATCAGACCGGTGCTTACTTATGGGGCAGAAACATGGGGCCTTCTCAAAGACTGATGAAAGGTACCTCTTAACTTTCGAGAAAAAAAGTTTTAGGTGCATTTTTGGTTCTTAGAAGAACGACCCAACGTTGAGAAGGCACACAAACATGAAAATATATTCCTTACTTAATGAGCCTGATGTAGCAAGAACTGTTAAGCTCAGTAGGCTGCGCTTGGAGGGCCATGTCACCAGGATGGTACCACATGAAATACCAAAAAATTGCTAGATGAAGATTTACATAGAACCGAACCGACAGGGCACCCAAAGCTGGGAAGGGTGATTGGTGTTGGGGAAGATTAATGGATTCTGCTTAGAGTTCTGAATTAGAGGAAAGTTGAACTTCACCGATTAAACTGACGGAAGGTGCTTGAGGAAGATCAAACCCAGTGATGGGTTGCCGTGCCAATTGAGTAGAGTAAGGTAACATTATAAGATATATGATGATAATACAAAGAAACTATTATTTAAAATTTCTATCAGTTTAGTAGTTGTAAATAGGATTAATAAATGTTAAAGAAAATAATAGTTTGCACTACAACTTAAAATAAATTAAAACTATTTTAAATTATAATTCGTAGCGTCTTTTTAAAGTTCTATATTTCTTTAGCATATATAATGCTTCTATTTCTTTTTTTACATATTCCCCATGTTTGATCATTTTTTCAATCTGTTCAGGATCACTTACATCCTTATTTTTCAGAAAAGCCTTTTTAAGCCTATCTCTAAAGAAATCATAACCTTTCGGCCAATCTTTTCCTAGGTGCAGAAGCTAAAACAAAAATGACAAATTAATATTATGGCATTCTTGAGAAAAAAATAGTTTATTTATAATATTGTACATATAGAATGAAACGAGTACAACACAAAAAGTAGTTCTTAGTCTGTACAAAAATATTTGAAATATGGAAAAGGTATACATAAAAACTTTTTAGCATTTTCTTTCTGATTGAGTTGATTCGTAACCAGAATTAGTCAAATTAATGTTTTATTCTAACAAGCAGTTCTGCACTTTTTCTGCATACACAGTGCAGTTTTAGCATTCCAGCACACTCAAGGGCCCCATACACAGTCAATATTGTTGAAGAAACATAATTAAAGGAAATATACTGAAGGGTTCCCACACAATTGATAATAATATTGAGTTAATATTATGTCAGTTACAATCTTGCTTTCTCCAAAGAAGTAATTATCTTCTTAGATTTTCCTGAACATGAATAACAGTGAATTTTGTTTTACTCTAATTCTGGATCATTTCTAATTTTTATAATATAATCCTAATACTTCACAAATAGGATTGTATTATAAAAATATATTCTTCTTTTATTGTTATAATTAACTGTATTTGATTATAAGCGAATTCATAAACAATAATTTTCCTCAAACTACCAATTACCTAATTATTTATCAATTGTTCATTTACAATTACTTTGCTATCAAAATATTGAATAAACAGACTAGAAAAGTTGTGTCGATAGCTAGACTCTGGCAATGGCATTTTTAAATAAAATGACAACAAAATATTAAGAGCAACAATTTGGCATTAACCAGTTAATTTTATTTTATTTATTAAATAGAAAATTTAGAACATGATTTATGTTACCAGGAAGTAAAGAATATAAATGAAAATTCTAACCTAAAGACCTTGCACACTAAGGCGCTGCGGAGGTGTAGCGCCTTGTCATGCAATATTCCTCTCAAGCGGGTAACTAGCTTTAGATTAACTACTGTTAAAATAATAAACTCTTCGAATGAGAAAATATTTGTTAAAGTTTATTCTAAAAAAAAACATTCAAGAAAGGTATTTTGTCAAGTTGAATGAAGGCCTTTATATATAAAACTAGGATAAAAATGTCGACACAATAAAATAAAGCTCAGTAATTGTATGTAATTTAATTTCATCTCTAACCGCACCCTCAACTACTTTCTCCTACAACTGTCTAAATTTATAATTTAATAAATGTAGATACGATCAATTCTTAGTAATAATTAGAACCAGATTAAAGACTAAGGTAGAATAACAACAAATCATAATGTGAATAAATTAATAGAACAAAAAGAAATAACACCAGTAAACAATGGATGCTCAAAGTTCAAATTTATATCAGATATGTAAGATTCAATATAGGAACTCTGGAAAAATATAATATTTTACACTATGTCAAAAACAGAGTAAAAAAATGGCTAGTATAATGATACCAAAAAATAAGAAAATAAAACTCATCTTTTGGTGAAAATATATGTTGCGAATTTCAAAATATTCACAGGAGCCATAATAGATAACTTTACAAAATATAATTTTGCTCTTATTCAGAAACCTCTTAACTATATAATTTTTCTAAAGTATAGTTTTGATTGAATCTTGAACTTTGATAATACTATTAACAGATAAATGCATTAACTTTAAAATTCATTCAAAAATTTTCTGAAGAAAAATTTTTAGTAAATTGGTTACGTAATTGCAGCTAGGATAAACCAAATAACAACATCTGACTTATAAGAAAAATATAAATGGACCAACTGAAACACCATAGTCCAAAAATGTACATGTGAGTATCCTTTTATATCGGTGACATCAAAGAATAAGAAAAACTGTTCCAACAGAACCCCAGTGCTGGACCAGGTCAGACTTGTGCAGTAAATTTTGCATGCACTGATTCAGAACTGCTTATTGGAACAAACTTCAAGAATTTATTTGTGAAATTTATTTTAAATAAATAAAATTAAGGTTCAGATCTACTAACAAAAATAATTCTTACTGATGTGCCAGGCAGTATCAAAAAGAAATTTCCATTATATAATATTGACTTCACGTCAACTATAAAATTTATTTATAAAAATGCTGTAACAATGTTTCAAGAAAACTCTTCAGGCATAAATATGAATCCAAAAAGCCTGTCTTACATAACAAGAAGTATAATACATTAACAAAGACTGAAATTATCTCAAATTGACTACAGCAAGTTTCAGCACCATGTTGAATCCATAAATAAAAAACATATCCCTAAAGACTGGTAAAGACAAGGGTTGATCCAGAATTGGAATAAGCCCAACCTTCAACTGACTTTCAATTTTAAGATTAAAACATTGTATTAGCAGTCTCAATTAATTTTCAAAGCAAAAAGGTTCTGGGATTGATTATTTATAATCTGATGGTAACTTTATCCTAAGGCCAAATAGGACAGGAGTGAAACATAAGTCAGGATAAAATTTGTTTAGAGCTAAACCAAATCTTTACTCAGTAAATACATTTTTTTTTTTTTTGGCTGCTATCTTGTGTTTTCTCAGCCCTGATAAAGGTCTGAAATGTAAGACAACAAAATCAGTATAAAATAAAACATATTTGCGTTTCTCACTATGACTACTATCAACTGACTTCTCAATCAAAAATTTAGTTTATTAGAGCTAAATATCCTAACTTCCTTGAAATATGGCAAGAAAAGAATTATCTTACAGGTAACCTTTCTATTCTAGCCAGAGAGTCAAAATTCATTCTGTGGTCCACCAAACAATATATTTTAACCTGCACAGGCCGGTTTCAAACCGAACCATTTCAGACTTGAGGATACAAAAGTAGGTAACACCTTACACTCAACCACCACAGTAAAAAGTAATATGCAAGGAACTTTTTAGTTAAGATTATGCTTTTGTTCACATGTTTATAAAAGATTATTCTTGAACACTTCATTTAAAAATTAAATGATCAGAACATATTGGCATTCTTAAGGTTAATTATGTTTATATAAATTCTATTAATGTTTTCTGAGGTGAAAAAAAGGAAAATTAATTCAGTTTTTCACACTAGTTCAATATTAATTATCTGAATACTACAAGAGTAAAAATTTGGAAATTGGCCACTGTTAGATATTATCTATTATAATAAAAAGATCATATTTAGTCAACTAGAAATTACATAAATTCAAACTGGAAACAAAATATTAATTGCCAATTGGTAACTGAGAATAGTTCACTTTCAGTAATATTGTTATACAGTTTTTAAAAAATCAAACAAAAAACAAAATAAATAAAAATATTGGAAACAGAAACCATTCGAAAATACAGCCATACCGTTTTATAAAGGTCTATAACCCTTCCTTTCTGAGACATATCATAAGAATACAAAACAAAACAATCCTTATCAAACCAATTGAGATAACTGATAACAATGTCAAAAATTTATAAAAAGTCTTAGGAAAGAGAAAGTTGTGAATCGATTTTACTATCGATTCTAAAAATACTGTTTAAAATTAATTAAACTTATTCATAACGAATGCAAAGTTATTTTAAATGATAAAGCCATTAATATTTTTGTAGTGAAAAGAGATAAAAATCCTAAAGACATTACCAATTGCTGAAAATATTGGTCAACGATATAAGTTATTAATAATACAGTATCTCAATATTTGAAATAATTACCTTCTGAACATAGTGTTATTTTGCCTTTATAAGTGGTTTTTAACTCTTAGATCATTTTATGAGTTTTTATTTTCGCCTGAAAACATTTCATGATATGATTTTGTTCCCTATCAGTAAAATGTACGAGTTACCTCACTTTGAGTGAAAAAAGAGGGGGAGGGAATGAGTCGAACTGTGGTGTGAAATATACCTCTAATTTATTATTTAATACTTGGGTCGTTTCAAAATAAAAGTCATGATTGGCACCAATTTTCTTTAGATAATAAAATAAAAGAAATGGCGCGTTCTTCTACTTCTTACCAATCTGCATAGTGGTCTTCGAAATTTGCTAATGTTGGCATACATAATCATCAACTCAACCATATATACAGTGCTGGCCTTAGATATTCGGCGCCTATACAAGACTCTTCTTCCCAGTTCTTACCTATGCTTCCCAGTTCTCACCTATGCTTCCCAATCCTGGACCGTCTCAAGAAGTGATGAAAATAATCTTTTGATTTTAGAAAGAAAAATCTTACAGTGAATAGTTGGCCCAGTGAGATATGGAGATGGATGGAGGATTAGGAGGAACAGAGAGCTTTATGACCTATACGGAGATATGGACGTTGTAAAGTTTATAAAACTGGGGAGGCTCAGTTGAGCTGGTCAGGGCTATAACTAAAGAACCAGTTGAGTCTCAATGATCAAATTCATATCACACATTTCTATCATTAAGAGGTATAAACTGTATCGATTTAATAGTTTTTCACTCATTCCCTTTTGTGATATATAACTTCAAAAATCGCCGAAAACGACTTGTGAGAGTTTTTGAAAATTCATATTAGAAAAGGACAAGCTTTTCAAGATTGAAATTTCATCAACAAGAAGTACAGTGGTAGGACTACATATGAAGGAAAAATTAAAGTTGAGACTCTTTTCTTAAAAAATACTCTAAATTATTTCAGTTTTTATTTTGACTTGATATCTACAAAATAACCAGAGTTAGAGGCATTTTCCCAAAACATGTTTTCAGTTGAAAAGAAAATTAAAAATAGTCGCTGAGAAAAAACTTAAAAATTTTTTAACTGCGGTTTTGAACTGTCAAGTAAATATGGAATAACTGATAAAAAAATTATAAAAATCAAAAATGTCATGCAAAATGGTCTAGGTGATTTTGAATGGATCGACACCTCTTCTTAGAAATTAAAAACAAATTACAAAATGTATTAAAATAAATAATTTTAGTCTTTCACTAAAGCTATTGTATTGCAGGCTATTGCATGGTAGACCAAATGAATCTTGGTCTTGCATACCCAGTTTGGTCTTGATCTTGGTCTTCTGCAGTCTTGCAGTTACCTACTAGTTTATCACTATACAGGTATTACTGTAATTTTTCAAAATGGCGAAACCTAACTAAACTCTGAATGAAAAACTGGAAGAGTTAAATGCAAAAGTATATTGGTTCTACTAATTAGTTACGTAAAGTAACTAAAATTGTGTAGTGTTAGCAACTGTTTTGCCTTAAGTAATTCATAAAAAGGATTTTTTTAATTTGCAACAATGCAAAGTGCAATTTTGGACAACACTAACTGGGAGACAGGCATAGAAAATATTTGAATTTATATTACAGTGATTTTAAGATGGAAGTTCCATGTTATCAGTCGTCCAGATAAAAATGTTTTAATTGCTTAAGTTATGTTGGGTAATTCAAGTTTTCAAAGATGTATATACTAATAGATTAAAAGCACCAATAGTTGACAGTGTACCAATGTCTTACATCTTCTGCGAAAAATGTGGAAAATGATATTTCAGGACTTCCTAGATCTCTAGTTCATAAATTTTTAGTATCTATATTTTGTTCTAGTAGGCCAGTCTGGTTTTCTTTAGGTTTGCACCGTAACCGTGACTGAAATAATGGAAATAACTTCTATCAGTAAAGACATCATACTTTAGGTTCAGCCTTTACTCTGTAACTGCTTTTATTTATCCCATATGTTTCATGGATTTTAAATTTGTCTTGCTAAGTTGAGAACTAGTTCTATAAGATGAATACATGAAAAATACAATAACATCAATATTTAAGTTTTTACCAATAAAAATTCAAAGAAATTTCCTTAAGCATGTCAGCTTACTGGTGCATTTGTCCTAATTTTGTTCAAATTATTATTATTAATTATACAAATGAAACGTGATATATTTTCTAAATAATAATAAGAGAAAAGATTTGAGCTCTTAGTAAAGCACATTGTTTTATAATAAATTAAAAATAATTATCAAAATATCAAAAAGTTATTAAATTTATTAACATTTTGTTTATTTTATAAAGCAAATCTTTTGTATTTCCTTCCATAAATTCTAAATATAACTCATAGACATTGAAGAGCCAAAGGTTTCTTATTTGACATACAGTAAATTTCAAGCTTATGCCCAATTTGGGGTTGTGTAAAAAGTAAATTTTTCAGCTATAATTTTTTTGTCAATGGGCGGAACCAACCACTATTTATGAACAATAATAAAAACAATTTAAATTCATTCAAAAATAGTTTCCATAATTATCCATTTTATTAGTAAAAATTAATGCTTTAATATGAGGCGCTTGGTTTCAAAACCGGTTACATCTGTTTTTTCCAAAAAAAATTTCTTTTATTTTTCAAAAGTTTTTAATGTCAGAAATAGGGAAGACTGGAAAACAATAGATACCCTGGAATTCCACAAAGAGGTCATAGACCTAACAATATCTCCTGTCCAAGATGACAAGCATGATACTAATATCGATGTTTGCCAAGTTCAAGAAATCAATGAAACTTTCTATGTATAAACAATTAAAACTATGTGGTATTGTTAAAATTAATTAAAGTGATTTGTTTTAAAAAACATTTTTTTTTTCAACCATAAACTAACTAGAAATCCATATTTTCTGATAGCGATATTCAGGTTCATCTATCATATTTGCTTGTATTAAATGCTATTTAATAAATAGAGAACATCATAGAAAGTCAATAATTTTTGTTTAACATGATTTGTTACCAAAATAATAATTAAAAAAAATTTGGTAAGTTTGGTAATTAAAACTTTTTTAACAGCCTTGAAAATGGATGTACCTGGTTTTGAAACCAAATGCTTCATATAATAGTTGACGTTTCAGAGTATTGATAACCATATTCAGAACTATAATTGTTAATATGCATGGATGCATATGTAAGTATCTTCATCTCAGCACTTGGCAATTTTTAATTTTTATTTTTTAACACATTGCTTTTGATCAATGATGTCCTTTGTTCCGTGCAACTGAAACCTAATTGAGTAATCTATTTGCTCTTTACTTTAAAAAATAATTTTGTCTGCTCATTTTTAAATAAATTAATTTTAGTTAATATAGCTATTTTTTAAATGACTTTGTTTAATACCATATCTGTTAATTTATTATTTACTGATTTAATGACTTTTATTCAACGAGGCATACCCAGTCTTTCTATCCTGTTCTGACATAAATTCTTTATAGATTCATCATCGATAACAAGCAAGCATTGTTCTTACAGTTTCAGAATCTGTCCTTATGGCAATACAAAATTCTTTTTCACTGAGCCAATCGGTTCCCGACACTTTGATAAATGTAAAAACATTGGACAGTGTTAGGTATAAGGTTCAATTTTTGTTAATACCAGTCACTGTGGTAATGAAGAAAATGAACTTCCCAATAACATGTCAAAAAAAATTAAAGTAAAGATAGAATTGGAGTAACAAGACACATTAACCAAAGAAATAATTGTTAAGATAAAAATAATAAATTAAAAAAAAAAAAATCACTCAAGAAAATATAGAATAGTATGAAGATGGCCAAAAAATTGTTTTTATTTCTTGAAGCATTGAACTATTTTAAAAATTTAATTTTTTGTTTGTTTTGTATTTAAAGTTAAGTAGTTTTGTAACTTTTTAATGTTACTGTTTTGTACCTTTAAATTTATTGAAAAGTTGTGTTTGTAAATTCTTTGAGATTTAATTTCTTTATAATTTCAAATATTGTGTAAAGACTAAAATAACATAAACGGTTAAACAAAATAAATTGTAAATATAAACAATAAAAGTTGATTATTTAACTTATTTTATAGTTTTAAATATTATATGATATGTTAGTTGTAATGGTTCAACTACCTGAACATTTGTAAAATATAAATTATAAAATTAATATTTTAAATATTTTATATTGTCACACAGTGTGCATCACGACTAAAGTTTTCTTAAAATAAAATATTGTTGGGAGATCAAATGGAACATAATTATTGTAAATATTTTGGTTTCGTTTTTTTAAGAGCAACTGTTTAAATATTTAAGTATCTACTAATGTGATTCGAGGATATACCTATTTTTTTGGCCTTGTACTTCCACACCACGCAAATGTTTGGAAAATATATATCATATTATTTATGACTTTAGTTTTTAATAAAAATTATGTTCTTTTATTATAGATTTTAATGATTCCTTCAATGAAATGACAATAATGTAAGGGAATAAATTAAATAATTTAATTTGAGCCAATTATTTGTAGTATGCACAAAATAGTAATTTAACATGATCTCAAAACAGCTTAGATAAATAGAAATTACAAAAATGGTGGTGGATTATGAATATAATCATATACATATTTTTGTTTATATCTCTTCAAAAATAGTTTTTAATCTCACTTCAACAAGTACATTATTTTATTAAAAGCT